TTCAAGTCCGTAGGTTCGCCTCGTTGATTTGGCTTACATCCAAAATATTCCCACACCGGAGATGTGGTATTAGGTTTTGCAACCACTTCCATTTAACTTCAAATCCCCCTCGAGTAAGTCACACGTTGTCTTCTGCTTGTCTCTATATTATTTATTTGGCTGCTACATTGCTGCACGCGGAGTGTTCTGACCTGGCTGTGTCATGGGCTGTGTGTGAGCCCCGCCCCTCACAGCGCGCCGGGCCGGCAGCCACAGCGCTCCTGGCTAAATTGCTGGTCACATCCTTATGTAAACAAACACGCATGTAAATTTATCGAGCTCAGAAAAGTTATCTAGTCCATTTTTATTATCACTGTCTGGCGAATTGACGGCCACCTCTTTCTGGTAAAAACTAAGAATTGGCGGCAAGCAAAAACAAAAGTTGTATAATGCCTAAAAGTTGATGTGTCGTATATTGCACGTCATACAAGGAACAAATATCGAATGGATCTCCAGTAGCATCATCTGAAAAACTCATCGGACCAGCAAAGACTGGAATTTGTATTTAGTGGCAGACAGATTTTTCACCCAAAAAGGGGAGGGGCCATAATGTAAGGAAAGTACCCAGATAGGTTCCTCTCATCTATATAAATATCCATTTACGAATAACGCGGTCAGCGATGCCATTGCATTGTAAAGTCTGTGAAGATGGGAATTTGTGTGTGTTAAAGTGGACCTATCATGCTATATTTGAATAATATATTGTAGGCCCTTACCTAAACAAAACATGTCTGTGAAGTTTTTTTTTCAAAATACCAAACAGATCATGCATTTTAGCCATGCCTCATTTCGCTGTATTTGCTCTATTCCAGCCCTGTTTTTGCAAGGGCTGATTCTGTGGCAAATGAGCTGCAGCTGACCACGCCCCCCTGCAAATGTTACCATGCTGTTACCATGCCACGCAACCTCTCATTCCCCTGATAGGTGGAGAGTTGCCCATATAGGCGGAGCACCCCGCTTCTGACGTCAGAACAATTTTAAATCTGTACCAGTCTGTATCAGATCCGTTGCAGCCCCGTTTTTAGAGATTTGGGTATGGAGGAAAAGAGAGAGGGTTGTGTTTTCTGACACTTGGTGAGTTCCCTGACACACCGAGGACACACATTCATGTATAAAAGACATACAAAAGTGCATTTTGCATGATAGGTTAATTTTCACAATTGAGTGACCTAAAAATGACTGTTCATTATTTGGTTGTACATTGCTCTACTACTCTATTGTGTCCATTCTGGGTCCAAAAAACCAAGATGTAAACAGTCAAACGACCAAGGCCCCAAAACTGTAGTCCACAAAGCAATGGGTGACGTCACGCTGACTATATCCACGTCTTATATAAAGTCTATGATTGATTCAAGACAAGCTTAGTTTATGGTTATGTACAATAATTAAATAGAGACAGCATAATGTATTTCCATGGGTTACCAAATAACAAATGAACAACTGCTCACATCTGCCCCTCACAATGAAGCCCCGGGGGCCCTCTATTCTATAAGAATGGAATGTATTTAATCCTATAGATCAAGAGGTTCGATTGTGTTCAAAAGAGATCAAAGTCTTTGGGATTCATTTTGGCGGGGTTTCAAAGTGCAGCAGAGCACTTTTAGGAGTCCACGCCTTCAGACCAGACCAGATTTACTTTCTCCATTATTGAAACCAGGGCAGCTGCCCAGAAAGATAACTCTGACATGGGTTTCTTTTGAGAAAGAAAAGAAAACAGCCATGAAGTGGATAACGAAACAGTGACAGAATGACTTCTAGATTGAGCAAAAGCAGAGACCAACAGAGAAGTACGTCAGGACAGAACTGAGAAAAGTGGAGATAGAGAGGTTTGCAGCACTCCCTGACATGTTGACGCCAATCCCCTAAATCTTCTCCTCCCTGGATCCTTTTTATCAAGGCCACATGCAGTCGCGACCCCGCATCACTTCCCATAGAGAGTTAACATTCCTGTAGTTCACATGCTCAACAGGATAACAGTTAGAAACAACTATTATAGAACTCGGTGAGGCAAAAAAAAGCAGCAATGAGGACCTGAGGAGGAGGAGGAGATCACCGGAAAAGCTTGACCTCAGTTCTGTGGGATCTGAGTGTTGCCACAGCTGTATCAGGTTCAGCAGAACAAGTCACATCAAGGGGATTTATCTGGAGGAAGACCCAGAAAAGGTCCCTGCCTTCAAAAACACGCTGCTACACAACCTCCTCGAGGACAGTATGTGTTGTCTCGCGTCAAGGTTGGGTACAAAAAATGTAAAATACTGTTTCCAATACCAAACTAGGGCTGCTCCATTATGGCAAAAATCATAATCTCGATTGTTTGGGTCAATAATTGATATCACGATTATTAAAAACGATTATCCATTTACTTGGAGAAAAAAAATGTGAACAGTATGTTTTTAACAGTTGATTACCCTGAACTTTAATTATAACTCAACTGAAAAACCAATCCAAAAAAATTGTATAAAAAGAAAAAAGTAATAATAAAAAAATATATATCGTTTTATTTCGATTACGTTGTTTTCGAAATCGCTGCAAACCATAATCGTAATTGCGATTAAAAAACGATTAATTGAGTAGCCCTATACCAAACCTAATTTTAGTTCACCTTTTACTTAAAAAGAAAAAACCGTTGCTTTGGAGTATAACCATTTGATACAAATTATTATAAGCCAAGTTTAACCAAATAATTTGACCAAATATTCTAAACTTTGCACATGTTTTATTAAAATTAAGAAAAACTTGTTTAAAGAGTAAGTACGCCAGAAGAGGGGGCATTTGTTGTCATATTTTCTTCCAAAAAAAGAACCAAATGAATGATTGAATGCTACATTTCAGCGTGTGTGTGTGTGTGTGTGTGTGTGTGTGTGTGTGTGTGTGTGTGTGTGTGTGTGTGTGTGCATGCGTGTGTGCTTGTTATTGTTTATGCGCTAAACATTTCATTTCGAAGAGTGTAAACATGTTGTTTCTCCCTAAAAAGAAAGTGATTTTAAAATGATTTTTTAAAATCCTACAAATTACAGGGGGACAGATTTGTCTTCCTGACCCTGGTGGCATGAAGCAGATTATGGATATTAGGGATATCCACCTTTGTCATCCCGATAAAATAAGTGTGAATCAAATGTCCTCTGTGGTTTTTTAGTATTTAGAATATTTTAGAGCCAGACCTATAAAGACTTTTGCACAGAAAACTATCTGCCCCACCAGGTTTGAATGATATCATTGCTGAGTTTGTGAGTTGAGTGGACTGACCCTTTAATATGATTCAGGAGGCTTTGTTTTTCTCATGTATGCGTGGGTGGAGTGGCTACATGTCACTAATCTGAATGGTATCACAGATGACCTCTGGGATAATGATCGCCAGCTGTTTGAAGTAGGATAATAATATTTACTGTACACTCCTGGCAGCATCCCATTCCTTCCTCTGTAACTAACGCCAACAGCTGATACAGTTATTTGTTTGAGAGCAGCTGATACAGAGCGCTGATACGTCAAAGCTCTCACTGTCTCGGACCACGTCTAACAGGGTCACACTACAACTCATGCCTCTCGCATGAGTTGTAGTGCAGCGTATTTCACCACGAGGTTTATGAAAATCAGCCGTCATAAACACCGTTGCAGAGTATTCAAATCTGCTTTGTTACTGTTACAGGAAAATGCTAGCTTTATGGTTTGCGGGTTACTGACTAACCAGCGTTATGCTAATTCCTGACAGTCAAATAAGCCATTGATTCCAGTGATGGCGTGGCCATTTTTAACACATATAAACAGAATAACTCCAACATTAGCTGCTACGAGTAACAGTTCTCAATGTGGGCATTTATGCTTACACACAGTTGTGAGTGCTGACAACTGGAAACAAGCTGAACCACTTCTTGAAAAGTAGTCACATGAGTTACAATGACATCATATATCAATGAGCCACTCCCTGCCGATTACACTCAGGTGTCTTTGTCTCATCATGACAGTTAGTTGTAAAATAACACCACAAAAAACCTCTTGCCCATTTATCTCAAACATTTTTAAACTGAGTCAAGAGGAGTCTAAGTTGAGCTTCCAAAAGAAATGCACACAATTTAAACATAAGGTCAATTGTCAATATCACTTCAATCTCCTATGGCCGCTACTGTAGAACCACGCTGAATGATGTCAGTATTATAAAGAGCTATTGAAACTAATAAAGTTACTATGACTATTACACTTGAGGTGTGATTCCATAACGGAGCAAATTAGTGATTATTTTTTCTAATACTTTGCCCAGGTTGTTTAAGTCAGTCATTATTATGAAAGTATTAGTTGAACCGAGAGAATTTGGTCGTATGTGTGTGTTTTGTTCTGGTTGGGTTGGGGTCAATGAGGTGGAACAGTTGACCTTGGACGCTACAGACGAACACTCTGACCTCATATTCATCCCAGACTGACTGCAACACATCCAACAATATGTTCCATTCCTGGGTTCAAATGTCATTCGTCTGCATGTGTTTGTCTGTGAGAAGGGGAGATGCTGGAGGCTAAACATGACCTAACCTTTCATCCGTGACAAAATGTATAGGACAGTTTGAGAGCATAATGTGATCACTGGCCATAAGGTCATTGTTACTTAGCAGACATACTGATATATAGCTTTTGCAACACTTCTTGCTGCTGCTTGTCTCAATTTAAAAGTGCTTCGGCACCTGTTACAGAGTTATAATTGGTGTGTGTGTGTCTGAGAGTTTTCTAATTACCGTGCTATGAAATTATGTAATTATGTGTCCTGATGGCTGGTAAAATATCTGTATAGAACATGAATGAAGCTGCAGGAAATCAAATCAGATGGGAGGCTGAGGACTCATCCAAACATCTGTGTGGATTATGGAAGTAATCACCATTCACATGTTGTTGTAGTTTCCCTGTAATGAAGTATTAATACAGAAGGACATAACATACATTTCTCACACACTGAAACTTGTCATATATGATTTTACCTTTCTGTAGATGAATAATGTCCGGGAAGTTGGCGAGCAGGCCTTGGTAGAGGGACAGCTTGTCCAGCATAAGGAAGAGGTCATTCTTAGGTTGCTCTGCGAACAGCTCTCCAATGTTCTCGTAGGTGCGGCCCGTATGGGAGATGGCTTTGTTGAGATTCTCTGAGCTGTTGGGAGGGTCCAGCGTGAACGCATGGCTGATAGATTGGAAAGAATTTCCCAGCCGCTGGAACTCCTTCCTGAACCCACCCAGGTGTTTACGAACCAGCTCCGAAGCAACATGTGTGAGCTGCAAAACGCTGTCATCCATTTTCTTAGCAAAGGCCTTGAAGGTGTCGATGCGCTCCTCTACATCCTGAAGGTCCTGGTGCTCGTTGGGGATCTGAAGGGTCAGCATGAAATGGGCACCAACCATCTCGTCCTTTTCTTGCCGCCTCTTGCCCAGTTTCCACTGCTTGTCATCAGTACACATTAGAAAGTGCTCTAAGCCTTCATACTGGGAGAGTACTGGGTGACTGGTCATGTGGTTCATCCACAGTATCAGTCGCCTCTTGCGCTTCTCGATGAAGTCTTCCTCAAATCGCCCCGTGGCCTGCTTCTCAGGCAGGTGAGGCACGGAGATCACAGTGTACTTGTGCAGTAAGCGGTTGTACAGCCAATCAAAATGTTTATATCGTCTGTACACGGCACGCCCTATGTGGCTCGGCGTGACACGGTAGGAAATGTACGTCTTGATACCCTTGAACTTTGTCTGTTTTGTGGGGTCTTCGACGGAACAGGAGAAAGGCTTTGGGCTCGCCTGCCAAACTGGCCCCAATTGACCCATCTCAATGGTGTATGACTCAGCTATCTTCGCCATCATGGGTACATCCCCCAACACAAACGCTTCCACCCCTGAGCGGACAAAGCTGGAAAACCTGTTCAAGTTCCTGCCCACCACGCTGCCTTTCCTCGAGCCAGAGATGCTGTCCTGTCTCTCCATGTCTGGTTTGGCCCGGTAGTGCACGTTGGGATTGTTGGACAGTGGGCTGTGATGGGGGTGTCCATTGGCCCCAGGGCTCCTGTGGTCACCATCGTCCACCACCGTCGACCTGTCATCCCAGTCGTCCCAGTCATCATCATCATCTTCATCATTGTCATAGATATTCGATTGCAAAGTCAAAGAGGTGTTTGGGGTTGATGATGATAAAAAGGAGGAGTCATTTCCCAAAGACCCTGCTGGGCTGATGGAGCAGTTTGTCACGTTCGAGTTTGAGCGAGTGCGAATAACTTCCACATAGGATGCTGGGAAGAGACCCTTCTCCCCTCGGCTGTTCTCCCCCTGAAACCATCCGTCCACCGATTTCTCGTCGAAGATAACCAGCTCCTCATTCTCCTGGATGCTGATCTCCTCTTTGTTTTCACTTTGGAAAGTGTAGAGTGCTTTGGCTTTCGCTGACATCTTGATTCTCCAGTGGGTCCAACAGCAATAAAAACCTACATGCACATAGTGCCTAGAATATAATGATGCTACTGTTTTGGAAACATCTGACACTAGCTCACTTTAATAATTAAACTCGTCTCAAATTACATGGCAGCTGTTGGATCAGGTGTCACAGTAGTCTATGACTTTAGTAAATTGAATAATCTGACACTTAGAATAAACAGGAGAAGACAACAGTTTTTGTTGTCTAAAATATACCTACTGTGACCACTAGCATCCTCAGCCCATTGAGGCTCTATTGTCCTGTGCTTAAAATTCTAACAACAACGTCAGGCTGTAAATGTTTTATAACTCAATAACTTCCTCATAACAAAAGGACTCTCTTGCTCCCTTTACATCACAAATACAACAGGTACAAAACTGGTTTCACCGAAGAGCTCCTCCATAAGCACCGTGGGTTGTTTTAATCCTTCAGAAACGGTAATGCAGCCTCGCTTTGTTCACTTCTCGGACCCTTGTTTGCCATTACAGATCCTAAAACGCTTCTTGATGAAAACATCCGGGAAACAAATTGCCCCGGCGTGGAGAAAAACAGAGGGATGAGTAATGGTATCCCGGTGCATTGTGAGCCTGCTCCGCATTCCCTCAGACTGAAACTTGCAGCGTTTCCCTTGTAAACAGGTTCCTGCGCATCTTCAGTCGATGCTTTAAATTGGAAAATAAAGCAAAATCAGAAACCAACCAATGTCCTGCTAAAAAGTATCAACCCACATCTCTGGTCAGTGTTGTTTCTTGGGTTTATTCCTGTGCGAGCCGCAACAAAGTAACTCTTTCCATGACGTTAGGCTTGGACAATTGAAGGCAAGTTCTCTTTTTTTTCATCAGATCCTTTATATTCTTTGTAGAGGAGAAACTGGCTCAACATCGCTCCCTACAGGAGGAACACATTACTTACAACCTGCAACACACATTACACACTACAAACAACGACACACAGTTTTCAGAAAAATATGATAAAGCTGGTGATTAAGTAGTAAAATCAGTATTGGAATAATTTCAAACGTTAATATTTTTAAGATACTAGTACACAAGTTAATCCAAATAAGCCCTATCAGCTGCAGCATTGAAAATATCTGATAATAATAAATCAAATTATATAATGTAGGCCTATATTATTCTAAAATGGTCCATTCTGCATGATGGATACTTTTATTTTAAGAACATGTTGATGCTAATATTTAAATAATTTTTCTCAGGCCTAGGTGCATTTTGAATGTATGACTTATTACTGAATGCTGAATATCAAAAATGCATTAAAAAAAACTGATGTGCACCAGTTACACTGTTTATTTTTTATTTTCTTATGTCTATACCTTATTCCATATGTTATTGCATGGACACACTACTGCTGTAACACAAGAATTTCACAATTTGGGATCAATAAAGTATCTATATCTATCTATCTATATATCTTGAAGTTTGCTCTGTAAAACTCCGGGTTAGTTTTCTGTATATTGTCGGCCAACTGAAAGGGAACTATGGCAGAGTGACGTCACAGCAGCTTCCTCCCTGCATCTCAAGGTACCTCCTTAGCTAGTGATATTTGTAATGCTATTATCTTGTCAAATGGTTACTTTGGGTCTAATAAGTATGTGTAGATAGTGTGCACTTAAAACAGTCACGTAACGCTGTATAATCAGTTTTGCTAAAGACTGTTTTGCAGCAGCATGTTTAGCTCGATGCTAACTGCTAACATGACGAATGTTGTAGCAGTGGGTTTTTAAAAAAGATCCCCCGGGCTTTTTTTCACGTTTTATCACTCGTTTGTTTAGAGCTTTGTCTTCCTTGTAGATTGCATATTCGAAGAAAACAGTAATGTGGTTAAAAAGTTATTTTAAACGGACATAACATAACATGTTTTCGTATTATTAGTTCAGTTTTGAGGTATCGAACTTAGCATCAAAACTAACTAACCATGTGAACTCATCAACACTTCATCTGAGGAGCATAAACTGCATTTTAAAGGTTGAGGGTATAGACTTAATGGATATATACACATTGATTGAAAGTGACTAAGTACATTTACTTAAGTAGACATATTTGTACTTTACTTGAGTATTTCCATGTAATGCTATTCTAGAGATGAATATTGTACTTTTTATTCCACAGCATTGGTTCATCACTCACAGTCACTAGTTTGTACACATATGCATAAATACTGCTTACTCTTATAGTAATAGTGAATGCAGTTGGGTTGTAGAGTACAAGACATCAACTTGGACTTTGGAAAATGTTTAATCGCACTACAACAGGAACATGTTTGCCATTATGCATATGTCAAACAGAGGTTAACTGGCAACAGGCTGAGCTACCAAAATAAAGAATATTTTAGCAGTAACTGATAGATACAATTTTGCCTCAAAATCACAAATGAATCTCAAATCTGCATGCTTCAATCACACACTCAATGATCTCTCCACTATGGAAGTGCCATGTAATTGGTTCCTTCCCACATAGTGTATTTTATCATATATTGTTGATTTCACATAATTCTTATAGGTTTACAAGTGTTTCAAGCACAAAAGTAGTGTCATTGCGGCTCCCAAAGATTATTAATAATTGGTGGCCACTATTTTCTTTTTCTTTGCATGATATATTGTTACTAAACTGAATGTGTTAACCACCTTTCCAGAGTCCCCATGGATGACCTGACCCAAGCCCTCTCGGCCAGCTTTGCTGTGTCCAAGGAGCCCAACAGCACCGCCACCGCTCACCCTCGGCTGGCCCAGTACAAGAGCAAGTTCAGCGTGCTGGAGCAGAGCGAGAGGCGGCGGCGCTTCCTTGAGCTGCAGAAAAGGTAAACGCTCTTCTTTATCAGTATTTAACCCTGGAGTTTCTAATTATATATTTTTTATTTTACCTTTATTTAACCAGGATAGGTCTCATTGAGACTTAAAACATCTCTTTTTCAAGAGCGTCCTGGCCCAAGAATGGCAATGGCACAGTTACAGACAATCTTTAAAACACACAATCACAACACAGTCATACAACAGTTAGCCAAAGCATTTACAGACACAGCGGCTGATTCAAGGTCAGTCGAAGTAGCTTTGAGTTTGTTTAAAGAGACCAGCTCTCTGAGTTTCAGCTCAATTTGCAGCTGGTTCCAAGCCACAGGAGCAGCGTAACTGAACGCCCTCTTCCCCAGTTCAGTACAGACTTTTGGTACAGTTAGAAGAAACAAGTCCTCAGAGCGAAGGTGATAAGATCCTGTTATTACAAGTTCCCAGTACGGACCCTGTCCCTTCTTGGTAGGAGTTTCTCCAAACTAGAGTCACTACTCCACACTTATATTTAGTTTTAGTACTTCAAATAATGTTATTTGCCTTTCTTGTTTCATTATTGCAACATGAACACATTTGTAATACCATTGCTGCTAAACAGAGAAAGCCAATGCACCAGAGCCCATTTGCTTCTGCTTCTACTAAGACCCCATTTACACGGGAACGTTTGCGTTTAAGCACCGAATTCGTTTTCAAAAAAGTATTCCGTTCACACGCATTCGGCTCATTTAACGTGTCCGTTCACACGAGACCGCTGGAGACGCTGTAGTACATATGCCGGGCCTGTAAGTGGCGTAATACTTTCGCCACAAAATACACCAAAAGCAGCGAAGAAGACCCCCGAGCATGGTTGCCATGGTTGCCCTTCTGTTTATGCCCCGTGGTGGATTTAGCAACATGTAGTTCATGTAGTTCTCCATGTCCACTTGTTGCTGATGGTTGTGGTAGAGGAGCTGTAGATTTTGCACTAACATCTGTAGCATGGTCAGTAGCAGTAGCATTAGCGAGTAGCTACTGACCATGCTACAGCAGTGAGCAGCAGAGGTGGGGAGAGGCGGGGCTATGGCTCATCGTTATCAGGAAATTATAGTATAATAATAATAATAATAATGCATTTTATTTATGGACGCCTTTCAAAGCTCTCAAGGACACCTTACAGAGCATAATTAAAAACAAGCAACAAAGAAGATCACACAGTAATACAAGACTTAAAAACAAAGACTTAAAAACAACAATCAGTTTAGAAGAATTAAGATATTGAATATGCCAGTTTAAAAA